ATCTGTTGCCTGTCCTCTATCCACATATTTTTATGTCCTCTATCCATATTTTTATATATTAAAAACATATATAAAATAAATATACAACTATAAGCTTGATCTGTAACTGAAATGGGTGAAAAATGCCTTGTAAATGTATTTACACTGTTTTTTTTTTTCCTTGCAGATGACAGTCATGTCCCATTCAAAGGATTTCAAGGATGACTTCCACAGTGACACTGTGCTTTCCATTTTAAATGAACAGCGCATTAGGGGTATATTATGTGATGTCACCATAATTGTGGAAGATACGAAATTTAAAGCCCATAGCAATGTGCTGGCAGCTTCAAGCCTTTACTTTAAAAACATTTTTTGGAGCCGTACTATCTGTATTTCAGGTCATGTACTGGAGTTAGATGATCTTAAAGCTGAAGTGTTTACAGAAATACTGAATTACATCTACAGCTCCACAGTAGTTGTTAAGAGGCAGGAGACTGTAACGGACCTTGCAGCTGCAGGGAAGAAACTGGGAATATCATTTCTAGAGGATCTTACAGATGTTAATTTGTCAAGTTCTCCCTGCCCTTATGCATACTGTGTTAATGACAAAGGGCCTGTCAAAGAGGAAAGACATGAAAAGAGACATGAAGACTCCGCTGTGACAAATGGACCACGAATTACAAACGCATTCTCAATTTTTGAAACAGAAAACAGTTTGTTTTCTCCACTTGACTTGAGGGCAAGCTTTAAAAAGGTATCTGAGACGATACAAGCTCCCAGCATCAGCCTCGAGAGAAGCGACGTTTGCAAAGATGCTGAGCCAGCCAGTACACTGGCAGAACACTCCTATGCAGTTTCTTCCGGGGGAGATACTTTTCAAGGAACACCTTTTCTTGAACAGGACAGCAGCCCTTCATGTAAGAAGGGTGAAGACCACTATGAAAATCGCCAGGCCACGCCACTGGTTCAGCCAGGAAAACAAGCGTGTAGTACCCCTAAGGCAGCCTTTAAGCCCCAGGTTACTGGTTTGGCTGTAGCAAAAGTACCGACCTCTACAGTGACCACTACAGAAGCCCAGCGTGAAACAGTTACTGATCAGACAGTTATTTCCTTTCCAAAACCTCAGAATAAAGCAGGAGATTTCCATTTATCCAGAGAAGAGGAAAACAGTTGCGCTACTGTCTCTGGATCTGTGGCAACTGTTGTTCCACCTGTGTACAATTGTAACTGTTGTGCAAAATCATTCAGTGATAGGGCGTTACTCAGTACTCATCTTCAGCTCCATTCAGAGCATCAGGAAACTTTCATATGCAAATACTGCAGCAAACAATTTGCAAATCTAAATATACTGGAAAGTCATGAGCAAATCTGCATGAGACCAAGTAGCTTACCAGTTCACAGTGGAAATGAACAGAATTTTGCAGATAACTATACTGCTGCAGAGGGAAGGAATGGAAGTTCGTATGCAAATGCAGAGCCTCTGTTGTCTGAAAACAGCATCACTGATTATTCTAATGCAAACTGCACTTTACGGGAAACAGATCATTTGGTTAAAGTCGTTGATGGGCAGATACTATACACTTGCATTGTTTGCAAGCGTAGTTATGTAACACTGTCTAGCCTTCGAAGACACGCAAACGTGCATTCGTGGAGAAGAACATATCCTTGCCACTACTGCAATAAGGTATTCGCGTTAGCTGAGTATCGCACCAGACATGAGATCTGGCACACTGGAGAAAGACGGTATCAGTGCATTTTTTGTCTGGAGACTTTTATGACTTATTATATACTAAAAAATCATCAGAAGTCTTTCCATGCAATTGACCATCGTCTCTCCGTAAATAAAAAGACAGCCAATGGAGGCTTAAAGCCAAGTATGTACCCATACAAACTTTATCGACTTTTACCTATGAAATGCAGGCGACTACCTTACAAGTCCTACCGAAATTCTTCGTATGAAAATGTTCAAGCAAGCAGCCAGGTTAACGAAACTGCTTCTGCTAACTGTTTCATTCAGAGTTCACTTAGCACTGAGCTACCGCCACTGAATTTTCAAAGTAATATAATAGCAAACAGCAGAACTCTTGCCTTGGATACATCTTCATGTAATGATACAGCATCTTCCACGAATACTCAGAATCCTTCTTCCTGGGGAGTAGGTATCTTAAATTCTGACCTGCAAAGGAACTTTTTCGCAGCTGAAAAAGGAGTTTCCACTGCTGCAAAGGGCTCTGGTTCTCAGGAGTGTGATTCCTCAGCTGTCTCTTTAACTAATGTGAATGAAAATTCAACCTCTGTCATCAGTTACAGCAGTTCTGCACCCTCTGTTATAATGCACAGTAGCAGAGTTTCATCGGTAATAATGCACAGTAAAACAGTCACTTCTGTAGAAAACAGTAAGACAGAATCTTCAAATAATCTACCTACTCAGTCTGTAAGTGATGATTGTAAATATGAGTCAGATAATTATGGGAAATGCATTACAAAATCAAAAACTATTAAGGAGAAGAAGAAAACACTGCTGTACAACAGGGCAGAAGCAACTGAGGATGCGCAGCATGTCACAGGATCTGGAGGTTCATCTAGCAAATCGACCAATACTGTCCAAGAATCGAGTAAAACTGAAACATACATTGCAAAGCCGGCCTTACCTGGGACATCTACTGACAGCAATGTTGCACCTCTTTGTCAAATAACAGTCAAAATCGGTAATGAGGCTATTGTAAAAAGACACATCTTAGGATCTAAGCTGTTCTGTAAAAGGGGCCGAAAATCTAAACACGAGTCCAAACAGGACAGTCTAATTGAGGAATCGGAAACGGTAATAAAAGAAAGAAGCCCTTCTAGGCTCTATAGCTCAGAATGCCTGGAGTTGACAGAAATGTGTGATGACGTAAGTGACCAGGACTCCAGTGATAAACCCTGGAGACCCTATTATAATTACAAACCAAAAAAGAAATCCAAACAGCTAAGAAAAATGAAAAAGACCAAATGGAGGAAAAAGCATGGAAGCAAGAACACCGTTATGGAAAGCCACAACACATGCAGTCGAGAGTATGCCCTCAGGAATGCTCCTGAGGAAAAGGCGGTCAGTCAAGAAGAGAATGCAGAAATGCCAAATCTTCATTGTGAGCTCTGTGAGAGAGATGAGTCTTCCACTGCAGAAAATCAAGAACACGTACACCGGCATGCAGCTGCTTCAAAGCCTTACATTTGTGAATTATGCCAAAAACAATTTCAAAGTCCATCCACTTTAAAAATGCATATGAGGTGTCACACTGGGGAAAAGCCCTACACTTGCAAAACCTGTGGTAAATGTTTCTCAGTTCCTGGAAATCTACAGAAACATGAACGTATTCACCTGGGCGTCAAAGACTTCATCTGCCAATACTGTAATAAGGCATTCACTTTAAATGAAACACTCAAAATACATGAAAGAATTCATACTGGAGAAAAACGCTACCACTGTCAGTTCTGCTTTCAGAGCTTCTTGTATCTTTCTACCAAAAGGAACCATGAGCAAAGACACGTACGACAGCATAACGGAAAAGGATATGCTTGCTTTCAGTGCCCCAAGATTTGCAAGACAGCAGCTGCTCTGGGAATGCACCAGAAAAAACATCTATTCAAAAATTCAGGTCTGCAAGGTAGAAAAGAACAGTTTTGCAATGAAAGCACTAAACTTCTGGAAAATCCACATTTCCTTGGCTCAGAAGGAAGTGAAGTAAAAAATATACAAAATGTAACTCCAGAAGTTATACTCTGAGTGACAGCTGTGCAAAAGAGAAGAAAAATCCAGAACTGTATCTTGGAGAAAATATAGATGCATTGAATGGGGAAGCATCTCCACACAAATTAGAATAATTTACTGAGATCAAATTTCTTCATCTAAATATGTTAATATATGCAAAAGAAGAAAAAATAACACAGAAAATAAAAACTAGTATTTGCAATAATACAAACTTAATGTGAAAGACCCAAAATACTTTTGCCACAAGGACCTTCTAACATATATATAGAGAGAGAAAAAGAAAAACAGTATGACCAACCAAAATCCTTCTACTTAGCATTACAGGAAACTAGTCACTGAACTGTTTTACAGTGCTGTGTTTGAGTCAGAATCATTCTAGGCAAAATAAATATGTAGGTTCAGAGTGTACTCTGTGGAAGGAATTTTTGCTGGAGAAACTATGTATTGCATTTTTAAACAAGAAGTAATGTGTTTATAAACATAATAATTGTAATTTAGTGTATTCTAAAGTGAAGGTGGGAAATGTTTCATGAACTTGGGTATGCTGAAGTACAGTTGAGTTCTGGCGTGCTTTTCTGTAACTCAACATTTACAAAACATATTCAGGAGTTTAAACTCTTTTCCTTTCCTTTCCTCTATTCAGTTTTGTAGTTACCATAATAACAATTAGGTCTCAGTGCTTGTGTGGAAAATATTCCAGATTTATGATATCTCTGAGACATTTAATAAAGATTCAGTAGAACTCTCAATAGCCAGTCTTCCAAACTGCATAAATCCCAATATCAATGGCCTGGTAGAGTTATTCAGGTGCATTTGTCTAAAGAAAATTGTTCTTATTAAACAGCCTAGCTTAAAGAAATCCTGTACATAAACAGCCACCTCCTGGTGGGGCTGCAACTCCTGTCTTTTAGAAACACCATTCTTCTTAGCAGAAGAAGAGGACATTTAGAGACAGTCTTCCTTCTCATCCTGGAATAATGCCTGGACAACAAATGACAGAGCAACTCCCCATAAATACTTTGATTTTGGGAGGAGTAGGTAAATTCTCAAATTCTTGCTTCCATATATATATCCCCAAGGCAGTCCTTGTGTATAAACAGAGACTGGGCCAGTTTGTGGGGTTACCCGTCATCCCCATGCCTTAAATACGACATCTAACCTTCCTATGTCCCTTCTCAGTGATCCCCCTAACCATGCCAGCACCTCGCCCCAGGCAAGCTACGTTCCCAGTGTCCCTTGGCCCTGCACAGTGGGCCCGTAGTGCAGGGCTGCCTGGGACAGGTTGCTGGAAGAAAGAGCGTTGGCCTTTCTGCCTCCCTCATCCTGCCACACCGAAGGGTTATGGCGAGCCTGGAAACAGCCTTCACAGTTTGCTCAGAACTGGGAGAAGAGGCTTCTGAAAGACATCACCAAAATATTACAATTAATATTTTTTTGTGAAAATGTGATTAATTTTAACAGATTAAGAGATTCAAGAAAAGTCAGAGAGTGTACGTATACAAATTGCAGTTTATACGATTGGGCTCTGTTGTACTGTATCTGCGTTTTCAATTAGTCTTGTACGTTCATCTCTATGAAGTGTTAGAAAATTAGGTCAGGATAAAGGTTAGTGACCCTCAGCTTCATCCTACATGCAAATATGGTACACAGTTTGTTTACTTACTTCGTCTTCTTGAATATTTTAAAAGAAATTATAGCTTGGGTACAATAAAACTACAATTGAAATTATAATACAGTATTGATTGAAGTAATAATATAGTCCACTTACTTATTCTATCATTGGTGAATGCTATGAACCCCTTGAGAAATTTTGGGTTCAGTGCTGCTTTGGTTCCATTTAAATACAGATAATAGTAGAATAAACACAGGAAAGTACGATGATGTTTCAAAGAAAGTACACAAAGATAACTTCAAAGTGGACTTGTATGATGATAATTATAGACCAAAGCAAATAAGGTAGAATATTTATAAATATAAAGATAATTTTACAAATATTTTATATAACTGTATAGTTCATAAGAAGAATATTGATAGCTTGTGTTAGGTTTGGGGGGGGGGCTTTGTATATTTTGATAAAAACAATGAATTTGTAACTCTGTATATTCTCTACGGTTTATAGCAAAGCAGTTTTAAGATGGCAATGTCATGTTTATAGATCAATTGTGGCACTTTTACTACAAGTAACACGTTGCAGTAATGAGTCAAGTATTAATGACCAAATTAGAATTAAAGTAAGTGTAAGAGAAGGTAAATACTATACGTTGTCAGAGACTGTAATTTGCTACATAACTGCATCTGTACTTTTGTTTAGAAGAAAATATTAAATGCAGATGTTAAGAATTGATAAAGAGTCTAATTTTATTTTTAGAAAGAGTGATGATAACTCTGTTTTTGCTTAATTAAAATAACATCTTCATATTTTTCTGTAAGTCTCTCTTTTTTTTTTTAATGTTAATACTTACATAACCTATAAGATCCAAAGATACGTATACTTCGTTAGAAGATTAAGCAACACAGTTATCAAACGTGCCCTTTGTTAAGGTCAGAACAGTGAATGAGAACACGCCAGAGCTCAAGGGAAGTGATTGTATCTCTTGGCATCGTACCATTAAGGGTGAATGCAATGCTGAGGTGAACAGAATCTACCTGCTCAGTATCGTAAAGGACTTGGAAGAGAGGTGGACTATGTTTAACACTTTGCAACATCTCAGTTTTCATGAGGACCCAAAACTATAAAAATTCTTTTGCTTTCAAGCCTGATAGTGACCTTGCAGTATAGATTGTGTATTTTACACACAGACTTGAAATCTTTTGGGACTCCTGTCAAGAAATGCAGTTCAGAATACAAATACCTAATTGCAAAAGGAAATGCGAAGATACATACAAAATAGAAGATTACACATACGCAGAGTATTTCCCCCTTCAGCTAGGTGTCACTAGTCTGTAACTTGCATTAAAAATTGAATTTAAGCTAAATCATGCAGGTCGTTTGGGGATGGTCCTCAGGAGAGATGTATAACTAAACAAAATGTAGAAGTTTGCTACATATAACATTTTTTTTCTGTTTCAAATGTGAATTAAAAAGACAAGCGGGTCATCCCAAAATTTGTGCATCTAAGCAAAATTTTACATCAAACCTCATTTACGATATACCACAAATTAGAAGAAATGATAGTGTTGCTTCTGTGAAATGATAATGCAGCTGAACTACAGGCAGAAGCATCTGAAGTGAGGCAGTGTCATCATCACTTGTATTTATTCTAAACTCCCTTAGTGTAACAGTTATCACTGGCAATCCAGCACCCTGCCTGCCTGTGCTATTATCTAATGAGCAAAGATTCCCCTACTTACATCCTCATTGTTAAATGAAATCTTTCCCCCCTAAGTTTGTAACTCAGCACACTAGTGTTCATCTTAACTATATCCTCAGCTGAACAGAGCTTCCTGTCTTAGAGAGGCTCTTAAATTGTAACTTAAAGAGAGGCCAAAAATGAATGTTCTGCAATTGAAGCAATATTCTGAATATAGTAATGTTTGTTTAAAACAAGGCACTTTTAAGATAAAATGGAGTGGCAGGAACTGACAGTGGCAAAACTAAAAGTTGCACTGGTAACGTCGATAGGAGGTCTGTGATTTGAAGGAAGCTGATGATAAGTTAAGCAGTAAACTCCAACTGTAATCACAGCTTTTCAGAGAGCATAGAAGAACTGGAGTCCCACGATCTAACTTTTAAAGTGTTTCAACCCCCAGTTTGTTTCAGTGTTTCAAGACGTTACATGCTCATTCTTGGGATGCTACCCTGCTGTGTTTCCCAGGTCAAAGCTCTGACTCTGCCTGGGTTGTACTGTTATCCTCAGTTCACCAGCCACCGGTCGGACAGGGCAGCCGACCTAGATAGCCGGCTGGAGATAACCAAACCCGCCATTGGTACTGCGGGTGAACCTCTCGTTTCTAACAGGTTAAAATTCAGCTTACGCAAACTCCTATCTTTGTGCAGATTGGGGTGTTGCCTGCATACAAATACACCCATTACTGGTGTGATGAAGCAGCTTATTCCTCACCAACCCCACCACCTTTAAACACATTGCTGTCCCCCCCCAACCACGATGCAGGGCATGGGGATGAGGAGAGAACCTCGCTGCTGCCAAAGGAGCAGAGGGGGAGAAGTTGGATGCAGGAAAAGCCAGCAAGGAATGAGGCACAGGAGCCTGTCAGATTACACGGCTCGATGCCCTGTCATCATCATCATAATGGCAAGATTTGTGCAGGAGAAATAACAAATGGGTGGAGCACCCTGGCAGAGGATTTACTTCAGCTGGAGACAAATGACAGATGTCGGCCTGCAACTTCCCAAACTTCACTCTGCTTTAACAGGACAGACTGAAGAGGGCTTTCTAGGCATGAAGAATCCTGGTCCTCTACTGCTTTCTGAGACAGCTTTAGCCCACTGAACCACCTCTGGTTTAGGATCCATCAGCCACTACAGGCTTTCACCAGGCTGTGCCGACGGGAGCCAGCGGCTGACGCATCCCCCGCGAGCACTGTCACCGAGCGGGACGTGCCCCTGCAGATGGCGGCTGGGTGGGCAGCGCAGACCTGGGAAGACGCCCACCACCCATGTGGGACGGGGGCAAACTCCACATGTAAGCAAGATCCCGGAGTTTCACATCAGGATCCGTATCTCCAAGAAACGTGGGTATAAAGCTGCTTCCTCGGGCAGCGCTGGACACGGCGCAGTTTCCTCCTCGTTCCGTGGCATTTCTTATGTGACCAAACAGGCAAATGGAGACAAGCGAGGAAGACTCGGCAGGCCCCATCGCGTGCTTTTCACAGACAGGCGCTCAGCACACCAGAAACTACAGCGACCGGCTCCGTCATTCGCCTCAGCCGTTCGTTCCCCGCCATGAATATTCGTACGGTAAACACAAGCGCTTAACGTGCCCCGCAGCCAGAGCCCCTCCGCCCTGCAAGCGGCACACAAAGGCACAGCCCTCTCGGGGCAAGCTGCGGCATCCCCGAGACGGCGGGCGGCCAGCGGAGCGCAGACGGAAGGCCGAGACCCGGCCGGAACCCGGCAGC